CTCGGGTCAGGCAAACCCCAGCCCACAACTGCAGGCAGGCTCAGTTGTCTCCCTACCCCCCAACTCAACAGGTGAACATCTGTTGGGTTGGGAGCAAGGGGAGAGGGGGGTGCTCAGACTCATGGTGCTTTATGTAAGTCACCAAGAGTTAGGGCACGGGCCTGCATATTTGTCAGCACCCTAAATGATCAAACATTCTCCCCTAAATATATCTGGCAGATCTTCTTGACTTCAGACTAACAAGGCTAACTACCTCTCTCATACATGTATCTATGCAGGACGTTTAAAATACTAAAGTATCACTTCCTCTTGCGTAAGTGGCAGTTTCTACAAATCAATATCAGCAGCTATGTAGCGAAGTGGAAAGAGACAAGATTTTGTAGAATGCAAACAACATTGTGGCTACATTGTGCCTCTCAACAAGAGACAGCTGTGCTGTGGGTAGCAGAGAATACTCAAATACCGAAATATATGGCATTGCTAAACATCCCATGGTATCAGTTTTCACAGCTGGTAAATAGGAACTGTGAACATCAAAACAATTGCCTCTGCGATTTTGACTTTTTGGAGGCAGAATTATCCTTTTGTCAAACTTCTGAATGGAATAATCCTACCAATTGCTTTTCTCCTAATAATTCTGCTTTAAAACTGTTATTGTTTAATGTTATTTCACTGCTGGCTGCAAAATATATAGACTTGTTTCACTTTCAGGTAATGAAATTCTGAATTTTCTTATTTCCTTTTAATAAAAAAGTCTAAAAACCCATACCGTATGTAATAGGATTCCAGATTCTTGCCGCCTGTGTCCTTTAAATTGCTTTGCAGTGTTTGACACCTGATTTGAAAAAGCAAGCAAGTCTTCCACAGTCCCATATCTGACATTTGACAGCAAAGAAACTTCTCTTTTACAGAACAATAAGGATTCAGCACATTCCTCATTTTCATTTGTTTCTTGGCACATGGTAATTAGACTGTCATCATAAACAGCCAGGTCTCCATTTGGATAAAGGTTTTCCATAATGTCTATCACTTCAGACATATTTAAGTGTGCTAGCAGCAAGTCAATCTCCTCTTTATTGTCACTGTCAGTGCTCATATACTCCATTACTGTCCGTTTTTCTAAACGTCACCTGTAATAGAAAACAAAAACTAAACGTTAAAATGCTTAACTTCCACACAGATAGTTTGGGGTTAAACACAGCATTAAAAAACAATGACGAGGAATATATATTATCCTGGTTGATTTTAAACTAAAATCTTTTTCCCTCATGCATATAGCAAGTATATTCATATGCAAGTGTTAGTACACTGACAAAATAAGCATCAATATTATAATCTGTTTTTCTTTTGGTAGTGATTTACAGCATGACAACAAAGTGTCACATCTCTTTCCACTATTAAAGAACACACTGACCAATACCATCTCAAACATACAACAATCAAGAATTATGAGCTGCAAATGGGAGAAATGAAATGTACATTTTAAAGTACAAAAGTAAACAGTAGGAGGTGCATCCATCACCAGCGCCTACAACATTTTAGTCAACAACAGAAATGTAGGGTTTATGATGCATGCAGGTATACTAGAAATTTCCCAATGTTCAAATCTAAGCACATAAAAGGATGCCCAAAAGACAAAGATGAGTTAGTTCAGTTATCTAAAAAAAGTAAGAAAAAAGTAACCCTGTCCTTTATAGTTTTCTTTTTTTTTAATTTGTATAAAAGGCACTTGCAAAAGTGCTAGGCACATTTTCAGTTTAAAAAAAAAAAAAAATTAACACACAAATCCCCACCAAATTCTAAACCAGAGTTGGCAAGGTTTTTGGGAAGAGTACCAAAAACAGCCACACCCTCGACTTGGAAGATGCTGGCATGCCAGGGGAAGACGGCAGAGAAGCTACTTGGGGCGCAATCTTTGTGGCAGCGCAGCCCTGGCCCCTTCCCCGCCTTCCACCCCAAAACACGTATGCACCCATCACTGGCAAGGAGCCAAGTTGGGGTTCCATGAACCCCAGTGCAGCTCCTTGCAGCCTCCCCGCCGTATGTTGCAACAATCCAGGCTCCACGGTTGACAGTAGGGGCCTGCCCAGAGCCCCAGCCAGCTGTGGCAGCCAGCCAGGAGGCTGCAAGAGGCTGCACCAGGGTCTGCAGAGCCCCCACCCAGCTCATTGCTGGCAGCAGTTGTGCCTTGGTGCAGACAGCAAAGGGACCAGGGCTGCTACAACAAGGATCAGGCCCCTTGTGGCTCCCCCACCATCCACCTCAAGGCGTGCATGCCAAGCAAAATGCCTTCACATGCCACACTCTGGCATACAAGGGGTTGTCGACCCCTGTCCTAAAACCCAACCAATTATAAAAGTTTGAGTAGATGAGGATTGGCAAAAGAACCATAATGTACATAGGAAAAGACTAGTGGAGAAATGCAATCAGCAATGCTGAAAAGGGAATGACGGTATTAAACTGGAGGGAGGTTAGTAGCCAAATTCCAAGGATTCATCTTGGGACTGACCTTATTGATGGTTTTCATTAATAACCTACACACAGAAAGTAGAAGTCTGTTAATGAAACGTACTGATGACATAGAGCTTGTAGGCATCTTCAATATAAAAGAGGATCAGGCTATCATACAGAAAAATATAGATGACCTTGAGGACAGAAGCAATAGCAATGGGTAACAACTAATGACAAGAATTTCTGTTAACAAAGTGGGGGCTCACCAGTCAAAAATGAATGAAGACGTTAAAGGCCTGAACGTACTAGCTGATCACACATTGACCACAAGTCACCAATATCATGTACTACAAACATACAAAAGGCAGATACAATTCTATGATACAGTCAAAACAATTTCAGCCAAGGGGGAAGAAGTATTAATGCCACTGTATAAAATACTAATGAGACCTTATTTAGATAAGCTGCAGTTCTGGTCAGGCACTTTCAAGAAAGATGACTTCAACCTTGAATAGATGAAAAGAAGGGCTATGAAGATATCAAGGAATGGGTGCTATCATAAGAGAAAATTAAAATAAACGTGGCTCCTTTAGATTAGCAGAACAAAGGCTGAGAGGAGATATTGTTGCCTTCTGTAAGTGTACTGGGAAAGAAAACATCAGAGATGGGAAAATAATATTTAAAGGAAATGTTGGCACAGGAACAAATGAATATAAGCTGGCAATGAATAAATTCAGGCTGCAAATCAGGTGCCTAACCAACAGAACAGTAAAGGTCTGGAACAGCCTTTCAGTAAGTTTCTTCCCCCACAAATTCCTAACTATTTATAAGATGGAGCCTTAAGGGAATATATAACAAAGTGGCCTGCAATATAAGATACTGGGCTCAGTTTCCTACAAGGTCCCTTCCAGTTCTATGCTCCTAATTTCAAACCCAAAGAACCTTACTTGCACTGCAAGTACACATGCATGTATGCTCACTCCTTCATATACTAATAAAAATAATTAGGTAAAGGGGGCTTTCCACTTTGCAGATTTCAATAAACTCCTATCAGAAATTAATTCTGGTTATATCTCATAAACCCATAAAAAAAAACCCTTATATCCACAATGAGTCTGGTCAGACTGTCCAGTAGCTTAAGCTCTTGTTCACAGCTACTGCAATTACACTAAAACTCCGTACTCTTTATTTTCTTCTGAAAATTCTATTTATTGCCTGTTTGCAAAGATGTGTTAGAGCAGAAGTGCCCCATGCTCATATGATCATTCACTTCACTGTTCTCATGGAAAGAAAAACTGATTATCATAAGTTTGAGAAACTAGGGGAATTTTTGAAGGAAAAAAAGAGAAGAGAGTGAAAAGCAAGAATCAAAACACCATCGTCACCTATATTTCCGAGTAGGCCTGAAAATAACCTTCATTGCAGGTTTCCAAGAATTATTCAAGCACTAGGAAGACAGGACCTTCCCTTTTCCCTTTCCAGAATGGACTAACATATCACATTTATATAACATATCACATTCACAGATCTTTCACTGGCCTTTTCAAAAATAAATGCAGCTGCCTACTTAAGGTAAATCAGAAAGTGATACTTTATGGGGGGAAAAGATCCACAGTTAAGCACAAGCAACTTGTCTCAAGGACAGGTAGCTGACATAAGATTCCTCCCAGGCTTTCAGGCAATGCAGAACTTTTGACCTTAGTTTCTGGTCAAGATATTATCTTTCTTCCCTTCCCTTGGAGGATGTGGAAACTTTCTGGCAGATATTTCTCATGGCTTAGAGAGTATTTACGTCAAAATAGCGGTGCAGAGAGCTAAATACAGTGACGTGGCTGACCTGGTTAATAGCTTCAGGCCACATCCTGAAAAAAAGTCTGAAACAACAAGACAGGAAAAACTGTTCATCTCTAGCACAAAAAAAAGAAGGCTTTGTAGCATGCTCCTCTTGTCATCCCCTGTGGGGACTGGTTCCAAGGTCGGGAAAGAAAGGAGGCATCAACCTAGACCAGTTCACCTGATAGCAAATGAAGGCACAGATATCCCCATGCTCTTAAATTCGTAGGGCCTAAACTGGAGAAGAGGGAGCAATAAGTCTTTATTTGGAGACACAGAAGGTTACCGTCCCTGGAACAGCATGGAAAAAAGTGTTGAAGATGTTCCACTTTTGTATCCGAGGCCTCCACCTCACCTTCTCATGCCCAAGCCCAAACACTGCTATGTAACTTAGTAAGTATTGCCACTCTCCAGGAGAAAGGTTTCCTATTTGTTTCAATGTTGGACTTTTTGTCATTAAGGTAGAAGGAAGGAAAATAATAGAGAATCAGCTCGTACTGGAAACTCCCTTTTGAGATGCGAGGCAGAGGAGAAGCAACTCTTTGGACACTTCCCTCAAGAAGAAAAAAAAAAGTTACCACCCCCCCAGAAATTTTAAGCTCTTCTGGACACAAACTTGACTCAAACAGTTATTGACATCTACACTTAAGCATGATAACATGCTAGAGAGAACTTTCCACCAATCTTCTACTGTGATCTATTCCACACTTGCCTCTGTTTTGCTCCCCAAATCACAGCACTGTACTCAACCTGCTTCTCAAGCCATTCACTTCTGCCCACAGGGCTCAAATGAAAATGACCAAAATATTCACTGATTTTATTCTTCTCCTGCTCAAAATAGCATGGACAGCTAAAGTTTGTTCACATAGGAAGAAAGAAACACAACATGATTTCATGTGTGGAAGGCTGTTTAATCAGAATGAGGTTTAAATTTTTCTTTAAAAAGAGAGTCAGTGTCAGCTGTCAGTGGCTCATATATGACCCTTCAGCTGTCAGTGGCTCATATATGACCTTAACAAGAAAAGCATCTACTTGCCACTGGTGAATTAATTTTTCCTGCTAAGCCTCCTTAGCTGTACGTTAGAGCACTATTTGGATGCACAATATGAGAAACAAATCATAGCCACTTTCATTCAGTGTTTTCCTAATATACATAGCAATCAAGGCCCTGTAAATAGTTTTTGTTTCTAATTACAATTCTGCTTTTATCTACAAAAGCAAAAAAAAAAAAAAAAAAAAAAAAAAAAAAAAAAAAGCATGCGTTAGTCAGCTGACTGAAGTTTAAGAAAAGGAAAAACTTTTCCTCCAATCACGTCATTGCTCAACCAACATCACATGAGCCACCAGCAAGTCAAAGAGTTTTTTGTCATGGGTAGTTTTCAGCCAAGGAAATGTTATTGTTACCTTGACATCTTTTTTTTTCTTCCAGGTATTAAAAGAAAATATTCCTGGAATCCCAAACTGATACAAGATTTTTTGCATGGTCCAGGCCCTGTACTGCAAACTAACTAGCTTAGTGTAAACACATATAAATACTATATCTGTTCTTGTTTAACCAGCCATCAGCTATAAATAAAGGAACGGAGCTGGTATTTTTCCTTTAAATGCTTTCACAGTAAGATAATTGCAGGCCTTGAAAAATACCACCAAAGAAAAGAAAAGTGTCTGGAGGAAGGCTAGTGCACCAAGTTCTGCAAGACACTGTCACAAGGAAGGGGAAAACCTTTAGTTTTTAAGATCTCAAGAAAGAATTTTCCATGTATATATTCACACAACAGCTCCGTTAGCCTGTGGTCAGACAGCTCCAGCAAAACAGAGAGAAGGACAGTTGCAGCAGAGTAAGATCTAAAGGACAATGCTTTCATTCCATAGCTGAATACATCCTATGTGATGAATAATAACAATTTCTCCTGCAGAAAACCCCCATGTAAGAGACAGAGACAGCTTTAACAGAATTTTAGTACTGCTCCTCACAGCCAATTCCCTGATGTCACTGCAGTAGGACTCCTTCAACCACATGACCTTGACCATTCAGTTTAATTATTGTAAACATAGCCCTATGGAGAATTAAGAGGCCTTCTACAGAAAAGTGCTCAAGTTGTTCAGTAGGAGGTTGAAAAGTTACTGGCTCTATCCGGGTCTGTCAGCTGGAATTCTGCTTTACCTTGCTAGCATGAGTTGCAAGTATCAGCAAAGTCAACCTTTGAACATTATGTCAATGCTCCTCTGAGAGGGACTTCACCTAGTTTGGGAGAATGTTTCCTCCACCCTGTGATGTTCCTTCCCACACTTCTAATGCAACAAGTTTCAAACTAAAGTACCTGAGCTAAACAGATAACTCAAGGTATAGGCTAGGCCAAAGTCTTCACAGACACTTAAATAGGTGCTAATAGAATATCACCTATGGGGGAGGGGGTGTGCATGCATTATATACACACTCATATATATATATATATATATTCACGTGTATTCATACCCAGAGCTGACCCTAAAGGTGTATAGGGCCTGGGGCATATCAGTCTGTGCAGGGCCTGTGTGTGTGGGGGGAGGGCGAGTGGCTGGAGCACAGAGCCGGCAGGGCCTGTATGGCACTGTCCATGGGGTGGTAACAGATGCTAACAGAATATCACTAAAGCACGGACCGGGGGCAGTTGCCCTGATTCACTCCCCGACCAAAGGGCCAGGTCTGCTCATACCTATATCTAGATATATCTATATCGATCTATATAGATATATCTTTATATTTATCTATACAGATAGATCTCTCTCTCTCTCTCTCTATATATATATACACATACACACACAGAGATATGTACATAGACCTATTGATAGATCTATACATATGCATATTCTATTAGCACCTATTTAAGTATCTATCAAGACTCTGGCATCTGGAGATATCTATATCCCATCACCTATATACATATTCCAACATGTATCCAATTCCTTATATAGAGTTCTCCCAAGAAGTCCCCCAGTCTTCATGGGGTAGGCCAGGCCAGTCTTGACAGATACTTAAATAGGTGCTGAGAGAGTGAGTTACCAGTATTGCCACCTCTCATTATTTTTTGGCATTGTTTTTAAAATCTGTGCTTTGGGACTGTGAAAAGAATATATATAATAGAAAGAAAGAGCCAAGTTTTTCACAGTCCCAAAGCACAGACTTTAAGAACAACGCTGAAAATCCTGAGAGTTGGCAATCCTGTAATACACATAACACATATGCATGTGTGTCTGGTGTGTGCATACACACAAACATATCTATACAGACAGACGGCCATCTATCCCAGGAGTACCTGTTTAAATATCAGTGAAGACTGTAGCCTCTAGAGACTCACCCGCCCCGCTCAGCCCCTCCACACCTCCGCGCTCCGGCCGGGCTTGTCCGGCTCCGCCGGGGCCAGAAGAGCAGCTGAGACGAGCCGGGGTCGGGGTCCCCGAGAGCAGCGGCGGCCCCACGGGACCTGCCCCCCCCGCAGACCCCCGCCCAGGCTCCCCGGTACCTGCCGCGACGCGACGCGCCCGGTCTCGAGCCGGCT